AGCTGTCAAAGGAAATTCATTTATCAGGCTCTGTTTTCACTTTGTTGGTTGATCATTCTGTCCTTTTTGAGGTATCTTGTGTGTTCTAATGAGAGATCAGAGAACACGTGTTCTCTGAAATGCACTGCAAGCACCTTCCTCCTTCCCAGTCGGCACCTGGCTCTTGCACCAACACTTACAGACCGGGTCATTCTTCGGATCAAACTGATGGTGGCCTTTCAGGGTGGACATGTCAATCAGGTTTTCACCAGGGAATGTGCTAACTCTTTCTTTGAAGTTGTAAGCAGGCTTTTGGTATAATTACAACACATACTTTTCCCTACTAGCAAATGATCCTCCAGTTTACATTTTCCTTTCTGTATGACCCATGCCCGTTGATCCTCTCAATATCTGTGCTGATGTAACCACTTGTGTACCTTTTCCCTGACTCACAGAGAAACAACCAGAACTCTCCCCACAGAACAGGTAACAACTACCCAGGTAGAAGACAACAGAAGTCCCACAAATCCCCTGTAAGCCGCTGAATTTACTCTTTTCCTGGTCAAGGATGCTCCTACCTGGGGTCCCCAGCCGTGGCATGGGTACAGTATTGCTGTGTGGTTCTCCAGCGGCCCCTGGTCCAAGCAGACATCTTTTGCTTTGTTGTTGCGAAGCTGCAGGAATAGGAAAAACATCATCCATCAGAGCTCATCTGGTGGAGCTGCTGCTGCCCAACTACCATTCCACCATGTCATGGTCCCAGCCACTCAATGGGAAGTCAAGCGACACCCCATGTGGACCAAGGCCTGCATCTGCGAGGTAATCCCTCTAGCAGAGCCCTTCAGTGGATGCCGTGGGCACCAATCCTGCGTCTGTGACCCTCACCCACACAGCTCCCCCTCCCCAGCATGAAAAAGGATCTCAGGAAACATTTGGACAAAGAAACACTGGTCAGCCATTGGTTTTCCAAAGTGGCTTCAGCACCAACGCTGGTTTTAATAACATTGGGAATCACAGGTCAGCTTCTCAGTTCATTACTGACACAGAGGCATGGAAAACAGTCATCAAAAAGCAAACAAAGGCCTTTCATGCAGACTCCAGCAATATTTATTTGTATATTCAAAAAATACCTACTGAATGCAGACACCGGGCCAGGCACCAAGTGTTTCAGAATGCACCTTCGGAGGAACAGACAAAAGTCCCCTAATTTGGCCTCCAGGTGCACTGTGTTCTATGTGGATGTCCACCCACCCACCACCCTGCAATCTCAACCAGCGGGAAAACGGCAATGCTGGCTGGTTCCCTCCAGATTATGTTCTCCATGGAAACCGAACTAACTGGGTAAATCAAGAAGTGGGGTTCAGAGACGGAGGGGAGGTGGCTCCTGAGCTAAATGCTAAAAGGTATAGTGGGAATGATCCTGGCAACGTTCTGTTTTTCAGCCAGGTAGTAGCTATGTGGATGTTTGCTTTATATTGTTATGCTGCACATGTATACTTTATGCACACTGTATATGTATTATATTTCATATAATAATGCCTAAAGGAAAAAAAAAAGAAGTGAAAAAGTGAACTAGGGGCTAGGGCAGTCCAGGCCATGAGGGTAGTATGGACCGACCACAGTATTTTGAGCAGGGGAGTTGGTGGCCCCATGTTTCGTGCACACTGACATGCTTTTGCATGTAGGGAGGCAGTGTCTCATACATGCAACAGTCAGGATATAAAGCATACACACCTTTCTTTAAAAATTATTTTAAGACATTCTAGATAATATAGGTAAAAATATTTTAAAATGAATGAAAAGTGAATGATTGCCTAAGTAAGCCTGGACACTGGCACTGGATGTCCAGTGAGGCAGAAATGCCAGGGCTGACATCTGCTCAGAGGGGTCTGTCTGCCTTCGTCACTGGCTGGGGTCTGGTGTGGTGACAAGAACTACCAGTTGTAAGCATTAAATTACACTTGTCTGAATGTTGGTAAATTTTGTCACTGAACTGAATTTGACTACAAAGTTATTCTTAACGAATGTATAAAATGCAAATAGCCCAGCTGGTGTGGCTCAGTGATTGAGTGTCAATCTATGAACCAGGAGGTCACGGTTTGATTCCCGGTCAGGGCACATGCGGAGGTTGCAGGCTCTATCCCCAGTGGGGGAAGTGCAGGAGGCAGCAAATGGTTCTCTCTCATCATTGATGTCTCTATCTTCCTCTCCCTTCCTCTCTGAAATCAATAAAAATATATTTTAAAAAACAGTGGTATCTACATAATGGTAGATTTTGTTACAAACTAAATTTGACTAGTGTGATTTTTTTTTCATTTAATGCAATAGTCCATCTGAAACACATTTCAGATAATGGTGAGCTCAGCAAACTGAAGGTGCTGAAAATGTTAACAATGCCTGGGAATTGGGAGTAAGTTTTGTTTTCATCTTTATATTTTCTACAGAATGTATGCATTAAAGGTATTACTGAAAAGAGGCCATCTTCCCGCATTTCCCCATTTTCATTCTTCCTTTGTTAATACTATTTTGTCCTTCTAATTATAATCTTATCACATAAACACTAGTGATACCTGGGAGACATGAAAAAGTCCCCACACAAAACCTGCCTGTCCCACTTGCTTTTAAGAATCACATTATCGATACTTTTCTCAAGTCATTAAACTTTTGTACAAACCTTTTGAAATAGCTACAAACTATATTCAAACCATTAAGATAGTATATTTAACTAACCTTCAAGTCAGATTCAGAATTTTTTATCAAAAAAAAAAAGTCACTAAGATGAACAATTTTACTCTCAAATCTGTGTCCTCATTTCAGATTATTTGCTTAGGAGAAGAGTGGAATGGCTATCATTAAGCCCTGTAATACATGCGGTTCAAATTGCTTTTTAAAAAGCTCATTTCAATTTGCACTCTCACGAGAGGATATGTGGCTTTTTATATTACCAAGACCTTGCTGGCAAAGCACCAGCACATATTCTAACAATGAGTATTTGTTCACTCGGTAGTAGGAGAAAAGCTACTGCAATGTATTTTAAAATTAGTTTTCACTTCTTTGATTATAAAATAAATTAGAAATTTTCATGTGTTTTTCAACTATTGTATTTTCTTTTGTACTTTATTTTTCTCTGGGATTTTAAATTTTCTTATTTAGGTTAAAATTTTTATTTAAATCAATTTTCAGGGCTCATTATATATTAATGATACTATCCATTCATCTACAGTATTTATGGCATACCTATTTCCAGTTCGGCAGATATTTCTCTATTTGGTTGATGTATAGATTACTTTAATATTTATGAGCTCAGATCCATTATCCTTTTCCTTTGCATTTTCTTTCATGGCTTTGATTCTTAGAAAGCCCTTCCTTCCCCTTTTAGAGATTAGATTCATATCTATTTCCCTATGGTTCTATTATGGTTTCTTTTCTTTCATTTAATGCTATAGCTCATCTGAAATTCACTTCGGGATATGGCAAGCTGTTAGAATCTAAATTGTTTTCTTTTCCAAAGAGCTAGGCAATTTACCTAATTGTCTTACAAATAATCCATTCACTGCCCACCATTTTCCAATGCTTCCTTTATGTTTGATCTTACTTTGATAACAACAAACAAACAAAATACCCCAAACCATGCTTTTTTATTTGAAGAAGAAAAGACAAGGACCTATTAATAATTACTGCTGGGTGCCAGTTACTGTTCTAAGAACTCTACGCATCTTACATTTCATCTTCCCAACAATCCCAGGCAGTAAGCATTTTCCTTCCCCCATTTCACAGGTGAAGGAATGAAAGCCGAGAGGAGCCACTCTGGGTAGTGGATTCATCCAGCAGGCTGGCTCTGGAGTCTGCATGACACAGATTGCACCTGTAAGAAGCAAGCTTCCCTTTCCTAATTCCCGTTCAGGAGAGACACCTCGCCTGGACCCTGATGGTTTAACCTGGAGCTTATTACAATAGCCAAGATCTGGAAGCAGCCCAAGGGCCCATCTATAGATGAGTGAATAAAAAAGCTGTGGTATATTTACACAATGGAATACTACTCAGCCATAAAAAAGGAAATCTTACCCTTTGTGACAGCATAGGTAGACCTAGAGAGCATTATGCTAACTGAAATAAGCCAGAGAGAGACAAGTACCATATGATTTCACTCATAAGTGAAATTTCATGAATAAAATGAACTAACAAGCAAAATAGAAACACTCATAGGCCCGGCCAGCACGGCTCAGTGCTTGAGCTTTGACCTATGAACAAGTGGGTCACAGTTCAATTCCTGGTCAGGGCACATGCCGGGGTTGTGGGCTCGATCCCCAGTTTGGGGAGTGCAGGAGGCAGCTGATCAATGATTCTCTCTCATCATTGATGTCTCTATCTTCCTCTCCCTTCCTCTCTGAAATCAATAAAAAAAGAAAAAGAAAAGAAACAGACTCATAGAGAACAGACTGACAGCTGTCAGAGTGAAGGGGAATTGGAGGGCTGGGTGAAAAAGGTGAAAGGATTAAGCAAACACACACACAGGCGCGCACACACACACACACACACACACACACCCTCATAGACACAGACAACAGTATGGTGATTACCAGAGAGAAAGGTGGGTGGGGGAAGGCAGAATAAGGTAAAGGGGGGGATAAATGGTGATGGAAGGAGACTTGATTTGGGATGGTGAACACATAATACAATATACAGATGATGTGTTATAGACCTGTACACTTAAAAAACTATATAATTTTATTAACCAATGTCATCCAAAAGGCACCAGGCATAAAGTAGGAAAATTCATAGCTATAGAAAGAGTAAACACGCTAAGTCAAAGAGAGCCTTGCTAGCATCAGTCTATACTCAGAGATGGAGAATGTGTGTATAAAATGCACATATGTGAGTATATAAAATATATATTTTTAGTAAAAAACAATATACACACACAATAAAGAAGACCATACATCAAAATGTACACATTATCTATGCCTAGATCCAATCCCAGCTACTTGACTGATAGGCTGTAAAACTTAGGTAATTCATTTAAGTTCTCTAGGTCTCAGCTTTCTTATCAATACAATGGGAAATAATACTACTACCTCATAAGGTGACAGTGAAATGAATTCATATGTAAAAAGCACTTAGAATAGTGCGTGGCATTTTGAAAGCACCCAGTAAGTGTTCATTGCTATTATTATTATTTTAAAACTTTTCTAAAACCTGTATTTATGACATTTATAATAAGAAAAAATTCAGGTGTTAAAAGGTGATATTATCTCATCATAGGAAATCCGAGAAGCGCATCTGCACCCTTTCTTTGGTGGTAAATGGCTCTGGGCCACAGCATTGAGCAATGGAGAGCTCCAGTCCCCACCTCACTTTATACCCAACTTCCTAGTGAATGTCCCATTTACAGGCCCCAGGGGACTTCAAAATCCAAATGTCCCAAAGAGAACTCATCAGCCACTCCACACCACAGGCTGAAGGATGGCCCATGCCCCATTGTAACATTCCGTTAGTCTCTTCTACCAGCTGGTGAGAGCCCTGCTGTCAGGGACTGCACCATCAAAATCCACTCACTGAATGAATTAATGAATGAGTAAATGAATGAATGACTCTGTTCCTTATTACCCCCCATCAAAGCAATATACAACCCATGGCTCAGCCAGCCAAGCTGAGAGCATGTATGGTCTTAATTACCTCCCCGTATGCAATGGTGTTATTGTATCTTCTCATTTCTGGGTAAACGTGGTCCAGGTACCACTGGAAATTCTTACACTTTAAACTTTTCCTTAAGGCTCTTCTTTCAGAGACATCACCTATGTCGATTCCTGGGTTCTGAAAGGAGAGAGAAGCAAAGGGCATTAGTGACCGGGGAGCTCTGGCCGAAGAGCACAGGTAGCGTCATGCTCGGGAAAACAGTCAGAGAGAAATCTTAATTTCTCTGCATGCTTATTTGGAAGGTCGGAAGAAGGGCACCTATTTGATCATCTATTCCCAAGCCAGACACTCCTGTCCTCTGAGCGCATCACTCGGTCCTCAGTCAGCTGCCCCGATCATCGCTGTGCGAAAGGGGTCCCGGGACACCCTATGGGGCACCCTGTATTCCCAGCTGCGCCTCTCCCACATTTCCTGAGTGACTATCCGAGCCAAGCAGAGGAATTATTTGATTAAGACAAGAAAATAGATGCCTCTGCCCCACCTCCTGTCTTTCTTTTCTGCACAGGTGTAATTTCCCCCTTTGTTGGCCCTTTGTGGAGTTCATTTATGCAGAAGTGAAAATAATTTTCCATCGCAAAGCTTGTAATAATGTCCTAATGAATAATTCACTCTGCTTTTATAGAAATGAACCTGTAATGGGCTGCTGTGTGCTGACAGGGAGAAATAAAGTAGCTGAAATATGACTCCACAGACTCAGCCACAAGATGGCCCTGAACTAGGGGAGCAGGCTGCTCTCCACAGAGGCGGGGAGGCCAGGCAGCATCTTGGGGTCCAGGAGAGTTCAGATGGAAGGAGACTTGATTTGGGATGGTGAACACATAATACAATATACAGATGATGTGTTATAGACCTGTACACTTAAAAAACTATATAATTTTATTAACCAATGTCATCCAAAAGGCACCAGGCATAAAGTAGGAAAATTCATAGCTATAGAAAGAGTAAACACGCTAAGTCAAAGAGAGCCTTGCTAGCATCAGTCTATACTCAGAGATGGAGAATGTGTGTATAAAATGCACATATGTGAGTATATAAAATATATATTTTTAGTAAAAAACAATATACACACACAATAAAGAAGACCATACATCAAAATGTACACATTATCTATGCCTAGATCCAATCCCAGCTACTTGACTGATAGGCTGTAAAACTTAGGTAATTCATTTAAGTTCTCTAGGTCTCAGCTTTCTTATCAATACAATGGGAAATAATACTACTACCTCATAAGGTGACAGTGAAATGAATTCATATGTAAAAAGCACTTAGAATAGTGCGTGGCATTTTGAAAGCACCCAGTAAGTGTTCATTGCTATTATTATTATTTTAAAACTTTTCTAAAACCTGTATTTATGACATTTATAATAAGAAAAAATTCAGGTGTTAAAAGGTGATATTATCTCATCATAGGAAATCCGAGAAGCGCATCTGCACCCTTTCTTTGGTGGTAAATGGCTCTGGGCCACAGCATTGAGCAATGGAGAGCTCCAGTCCCCACCTCACTTTATACCCAACTTCCTAGTGAATGTCCCATTTACAGGCCCCAGGGGACTTCAAAATCCAAATGTCCCAAAGAGAACTCATCAGCCACTCCACACCACAGGCTGAAGGATGGCCCATGCCCCATTGTAACATTCCGTTAGTCTCTTCTACCAGCTGGTGAGAGCCCTGCTGTCAGGGACTGCACCATCAAAATCCACTCACTGAATGAATTAATGAATGAGTAAATGAATGAATGACTCTGTTCCTTATTACCCCCCATCAAAGCAATATACAACCCATGGCTCAGCCAGCCAAGCTGAGAGCATGTATGGTCTTAATTACCTCCCCGTATGCAATGGTGTTATTGTATCTTCTCATTTCTGGGTAAACGTGGTCCAGGTACCACTGGAAATTCTTACACTTTAAACTTTTCCTTAAGGCTCTTCTTTCAGAGACATCACCTATGTCGATTCCTGGGTTCTGAAAGGAGAGAGAAGCAAAGGGCATTAGTGACCGGGGAGCTCTGGCCGAAGAGCACAGGTAGCGTCATGCTCGGGAAAACAGTCAGAGAGAAATCTTAATTTCTCTGCATGCTTATTTGGAAGGTCGGAAGAAGGGCACCTATTTGATCATCTATTCCCAAGCCAGACACTCCTGTCCTCTGAGCGCATCACTCGGTCCTCAGTCAGCTGCCCCGATCATCGCTGTGCGAAAGGGGTCCCGGGACACCCTATGGGGCACCCTGTATTCCCAGCTGCGCCTCTCCCACATTTCCTGAGTGACTATCCGAGCCAAGCAGAGGAATTATTTGATTAAGACAAGAAAATAGATGCCTCTGCCCCACCTCCTGTCTTTCTTTTCTGCACAGGTGTAATTTCCCCCTTTGTTGGCCCTTTGTGGAGTTCATTTATGCAGAAGTGAAAATAATTTTCCATCGCAAAGCTTGTAATAATGTCCTAATGAATAATTCACTCTGCTTTTATAGAAATGAACCTGTAATGGGCTGCTGTGTGCTGACAGGGAGAAATAAAGTAGCTGAAATATGACTCCACAGACTCAGCCACAAGATGGCCCTGAACTAGGGGAGCAGGCTGCTCTCCACAGAGGCGGGGAGGCCAGGCAGCATCTTGGGGTCCAGGAGAGTTCAATGATTTCATTAAGACTTCATCCTCAGCAGCCAAACAATGATTTCCAAAGGAACAGCCCTTTAAATGTCAAACATTAAAATTCAAAAGCAAACCTGGGCACCGATATTTAAGTCTTTGTTTTAATTTACTTAGCATGATTAATGAGAATGGTCACTTGTGAAAAGTGTGGTAGGGGACACTGGCATTAGGGACAGAGGTTGTTTGTAATGATGGAGAAGGCATTGGGATAGTCGGCAGCCCTGAGGTCTTCGGACTCTCAGTCACACCACCATTCTAGGTCACAGCTCCTCATCTGCAAAATGGGAAAAATAACACCTATTCCGCTGACATCACAGGGTGCGGGCAGAGGTGAATGAAGACTGGATTTCACATCCCTCCCCGCCACATGCTATGTGCAGGGCCTTAATAAGCAAGTCACTTTTAACCTCCAGAGCTTCGGTTTACCCATCTATAAAATGGACATCACACTAGGTTCACATCAGGTTAGCATTTACCGAGCACTTAATTTTTGCCATGCTCTGTTCTAAGCCTCATGTTTAGCTTCCCAGGAGCCCTAGGAGATAAATGTGAACAAGTATACAAGGTGAGTGTGGATGGGAGAGTTGGAAGGGGTTAACCTCAGCGAATGTACCTCAATCAGATTGAGGACGTTTTTAGCAAAGGCCAGCTTAGGAGTACCCTAATTAAGTTAATAACAATGTACCTACCTATATAGTTTAAGTTTAAAAAATTTGGCTCTCAAAAGAAATTTCAATCGTTGTACTGTTGATATTTGGCTCTGTTGACTAATGAGTTTGCCGACCACTGTTCTAGGCAATCCTCTCAAGGACATGGCATGGACATCTGGCTGATGAGGTAAACCCAGCTGTGGCTGGGGATTCGGCTCACCCTGCTGTGCCGTGGAGGACAAACAACACTCACCGGCATTCCCATATCCCTGCCAGGCGCTGCTCTAAGGATGTCACCGGTACTTAGATTTAGTACTTTAGATGTGGTTCTCACAACCACCGAGGAAGGAGGACCTGCTATTATCCCTGTTTTACAGCTGAGGAACCCAAGGTACAAAGGCTGTCTAAATGGATTCATTCAAGATCTCATAACTAGTAGGTGGCAGGGCTGGGACTCAAAGGGCTGCAGTAACACGGGCATTTCCCTAGGCCACCTTCTGGGCAGAATAAGGGGAAGAGCTGAAGAGCCATGGAAACAAGGGATTCAGCAGACAGCGGGGACACCTGTCATGAGGCAGCTGGAGCTCCACGGGAGGGCAAGCCGTTAGAGCAGATGACAGGGTCTGGTGCCAAAAGTTTTGGGCAAGGATCTTCTGAGCACAGTGCATGTTCAGAGCAGGGCATCCAGGTGACTATAATAAGACTGGGACTAACCCAATACGACCCTTCTAGTCCTTGTAAATAGATTTTGAGGTTTCTGTTGTCACCGTCCCCCTGTACAGGGTTCTAAAAACTGGAGCTCTGTGGACCCCCTCAAAATGTGTTCATAATTTTGCAAGTCTGAGCATCTTTCTGGGGAGGAAGCATCAGCTTCTTAAAGGGACCAATGTCCCGTCCAACACAAGGATCACTTGGAAGACGGGGAGGGCTGCTGGACCCTACCTCCAGCGGCAGGTTCCACGCTATGTACACATGAGACTTGTAATCGTCCATCCAGACCTCAGCCACCCGGAGAGCATTCCTCTTGGTGTAGAAGCCGATGTTGCTATTGTATGGCTTCTTCTTCCGCTCGATGTGGGCCACCCGTGAGCAAGGCAGGACCTCCATGCTGCCCCCGCAGAGCCATACCTGGAGGTGCAAGGACTTCGTTAGCCTGACAGGCATTCCCAGCTGTCACTGCCCCTCCCCGAGGTCCCAAGGCAATGGCTCAGGAGACCTAGCATGAGTGAGAAATAACATTTTAACATATAAAGCCATATGAGATTTCAGGGTTCGTTTGTAACCGCAGCCCTAACAACCTAACCTACCCTAACCTAACCTAATTAAAACAGGTAGAAAAGATTTGCGGGAATTTTATAGATATAATAGTCTAGAATATTAAAATCCAGCTCTGGGTAGGAGTGGCCCATAAAGGTGCTCCCGGGGACACATGGCTTTCTCTGTTCTCAGTGGTGCATTGGCATCCATAAAGATTTTCCCCCCCACCCGCTGGAACTGTGCCCTGCAGATCTAGACTGGAAAATTCAAACTAAAAAACAGACCATCTTTGTTCACATCAGCACAAAGTATACAGGGGTATAGTTCTGCACTGTTAATATGCTCCAATGTGGAGTTCTGAGAGCACAGGTGCCCAGCATTCTGGAAGCATCCACCCCAATAAGATCATGTACAGGCATCACTGTTCCTGGAGTATTCAGGTGGAAGGCTGGAATGATGGTTGCCTTTGAGAGATGCAAAAGCCCAAGGAAGCGACCCCTGCTGTTCTCTGCCTGGGCATGGCAGGCGTCCAGGCTCCCAGGTCCTGCTTCCAGGGGAAAGCTGGGCCATCCAACCACTCTCAGTCCCAGGCAGGAAAAACAAAGCATGTCTGATTGCCCAGAGGATTAATTTGTGAAAGTGAAATGCCTTGCTTCTTGGGAAAAGAGGAAGAAGACACAGAAATTTCAGGGACCTGTGAGATGTCCTGCTGTGAGCTCCTGTGTACTCTCCATAAATGACAGTGTGCTGGTGAACTGACTCAGGTCGGCACAAAGTATGCTCCTCCCAGACGGGGTCATTTCAAGCCATTTCACCTTTAGTCTCCCGGAAACCTGCATCCTTGAGGATTTGTCCACCTCTCCTGGGCCTTTATTGATTAAATTTGGTGGCACAATTCAGATGTGTGTGATCCTCTGTTTCTATTTCCCAACTCTGGTTATATCACAGGGAAATCATATACCTCTGGAACATTCTCCCCATCACCAAGAATCCTCTTTCACTGCTCATGCCTTCAATGAGGATACAGTGAGCTAAGGGATTTGTAGACAGTGGTGGCTCAGACTAGTTTGATTTGCAACCTAATAACTAGGTGTCCCCTTGGGTTGAGATAGACCCATTACAAGGAAGTCAAGTCAGGGAGGCAAAATATTGCAAAAAAGACATGAAGTTCTACAGTTATGGACATTTGATAGTTTCAATATTCAGGGGGCTCTGGCTGGGTAGCTTGGTTGGTTAGAATGTTGTCTCAATGGGTCAAGGTTGTGGGTTTGATCCCTGGTCAGGGCACATACAAGAAACAGCCAATAAGTGCATAAATAAGTGGAACAACAAATGGATCTCTCTCTCTCTCTCTCTCTTCTCTCTCTCTCTCTCTCTCTCTCTCTCTCTCCCCCCCCTCCCTCACCTCCCTCCCTCCCAAATAAATAAATAAATAAATATTTTTAAAGAAGATTCAGGGAATAAACGAAAATACGCTTGTGCTCACCAATGAGAAAACTTAATATTGTTAGGATGGCAATACTCCCCAAACTGATCTAAAGATTCAACTTTCAACAAGGGTGCCAAGACAATTCAATGGGGGAAAAGAATAGTCTTTTAATTGTGTTGGACAACTGCAAAAGAATGCCTTTGGGCCACTACCTCTACAAAAATTAACTATAAATGGATCAAAGACTTAATGTAAGAGCTAAAACTGTAGAACTCTTAGAAAAAAATACAAGAGCATATTTTCATGACCTTGGATTACACATATGTTTATCAACTGATGAATGGATAAACAAATGTGGTATTTCCATACAATGGAATATTATTTAGCAATAAAAATAAATGGAATACTGATACATGCTACGATATGAACGAACCTTGAAAATATTATGCTAAGTGAAAGAGGCCAGTCACAAAGAACCGTATATTGCATGATTCCATTTACATGAAATGTCTAGGATAAGAAAATCCATAGAGACAGAAAGTAAACTGACAGTTGCCTAGGGCTGGGGTGGGTTTGGAGAAAGTAGAGTGACTGCTGGTAGGTATGAGGTTTCTTTTTAGGGTGAACAGAATCTTCTAAAATTGTGTTGATCACTGTATAACTCTAAATATTCTAAAAAGCCACTGAGTTGTATACTTTAAATGGGTGAATTATAATGGTATGTGAATATCTCAACAAAGCTGTGACAAAATAAATAAATCGATAGACAGATAAATAAGTCCACAGAGAGATGGAGAAAAGAAATTCCAGGGTTGGATTCCGTGTTGGGGAGGTTCAGGACGACTGAGGAAAGCCAAGAAGGGGCGGGTGCCAAGCAGGGATCACAGGTGCAGGTATACGAAAAGCTTCAGCAAAAGCCAGGAACCCAGTTCCAAGAACAGAGCCACCAAGTGGGAACAGAATCTGCAACCAGGCCTATTTGGTGCCAATCCTTGGTAAGCTGTCCAGACCAAGGTCAGTATTGCTCCAAAGCCCGCAGTGTGATTATGCTCATGAGAAGGCTCAAGTGGCCTTGTTGGAAGTAGAGGTGAGAAGGGAAGAGGAGCCTGGTTGCACCCTGTGTCAGATCCCAAATCTCTTAAATGACAAGGGAGTGATGATGTCCCAGGCTGGGAGGCAGGCAATGCAACACTCCTGTCCTGTGTGGCAGGAACCTGGCTTCCTGTGCTGGGATCTGCCATGTGGCTATCAGCTGGCATGCTCAGTGAGAACCAACTCACAGCCACTCGGTTCTTCCTGTATAGTCTGGGGTGGGGCAAGGGGCTCTCAGACTCTATTGGACCCAGAAAAGAGAGTGAATTGCCATGGCAGGCACTGGGCCAGATTCCTATAACATCACCACAGTCCCTCTCTGTCTGGAGAAACCTGGGTGTCAACTGATAGATGAATGGATAAATAAGATCTGGTACATATATACAATGGACTATTACTCAGTCATCAAAAAATGAAATCTTGCTATTTGCAAGAACACGAATGGAAGCAGTGGTTCTCAACCTTCCTAATGCTGCGACCCTTTAATACAGTTCCTCATGTTGTGGTGACCCCCAACCATAAAATTATTTTCGTTGCTACTTCATAACTGTAATTTTGCTACTGTTATGAATTGTAATGTAAATATCTGATATGCAGGATGTATTTTCAGGGGTCACGACTCACAGGTTGAAAACTGCTGATAGAGGGTATTTTGCTAAGTGAAGTAAGTCAAACACAGAAAGACAAATACCATATGATTTCACTTATATGTGAACAAAAAACCCAAAACAAATGAATACACAAAACAAAACAGAAACAGATCCATAGATAAAGAAAACAAGCTGATAGTTTACAAAGGGGAGAGGGGTAAGGAGATAGGTAAGAAAGGGGAAAAAATAAAACAAAACAAAACAAAAATGAGAGAGAGAGAGAGAGAGAGAGAGAGAGAGAGAGAGAGAGAACTCTAGGCCCTAAGAAGTCTTAGACAAAATACATCTCTTCTGCTTCAGAACAATTGATGCCCTGGAAGAAGAAGAGGACACTATGGGAGAGGGATGCCAGTGCGCAGGTGGCATTGGTACTCCACCATCATGAGAGAGGGAGAGGGAGAGGGAGAAAGTCTTCAAGAGTGTGCTGGTTTATTTCCAACTGATGAATGTTTCTTTCATTCATTCAACTCATAACATTTAATAAATATTTCACTAACTCCTTAGATCCTTAAAGATTGTGTCATCAAACTAGGAAAAATAGGTATTCCCAAAATTACCCCTGGACCTCAGCCTGGTCAATGGTCTCCCTGATTGTCCTCTATATTTTCTCAGTTGAAGTCTCACATCTTTCCTTCAAGGACAGGATGAGAAATTGTCTTACATGGCTGGTTCCAAAGCCTGGCTATGCCTTTGAATCACTAAGAGAGTTTTTAAAAATTATAAATGTCTGGGTCCCACCCCAGCCCCAAGAATCTAATTCTCCAGGGGTGGAGCTGGGTGTTTAAAGAGTTCCCCCACTTTTTATGTTGTGATGTGTAACCAGGTTTGGGAACCACTAGTCTAGGACTTTTCTGAGGCTGTGGTGTTATGACTCTATATCACAGGGGCTGAAGAAGCTAGGATGTGCCTGGCCAAAGCCAGTTCAGCCTGGCAGTGGTTCCAGGTGTTGACAAGAGGCAGGGCATCTAATGTGCCAGGTGCTGCCCAGACCACGCTCTCCCAGGGCCGCTGTCACTGAGGTCAGCAAGGGAGGAAAGTGTGGGAGCCTAAAGCCACTGCCAGGTGCAGGTGAAAAGCTGTGGGGGACGCCAAGGAGTCAGAACCAATGTGACTGGTTTGCTTATATCATCTATTCTTGTAGGCAGTGGCCTCCAAACGTTTTTGATATTCATTCTCCTCTGGAAAAAAATTAAAGCATATCCTTCAATATGTTTAGTTTATCCATTTTAAATTATATGCACATGCTACTGTACTAATATATTTTACACATGATAAATTAACATATATATAGAAATTGAAAATGATATGAAAAGGGAAGCATTATTATATCCCTCTTGAACCCCAGTGGATTTTCTTGTGTGGCCCCCTTTGGAAACCACTATAAGAATTCAAATATTCAAGGTCAAGTCTTATCCCCCCTATTTTAAGAGACCAGCTGTTTATCATGGGCAGCGGGAAGTATTCAGGAATGAGGAGGTTTGGGCCAAAGTAACCTAGTGAGAATTTTCAACTCTGTCATTAAGAGCCATGATTTCGTGAAAGCCATTTTTCAGATGTGCTCTCAGCACCCCCGGGAGCATTGCAATTTTGGAAAGAGCCTCAGATGCTGTTACAGGAGGAAGCCCAGAGCCCTCTCCCCACCACACACCACGATCATTCAAATTGAACAGGAAGCAGCAGGAGCCAGAAAGAAACCCTGG